GGGAGAAATTAATAACTGGAAATCTAGAACTGTCTTAGACAGTACAGGATCACATATGTACTGAGAGTGTCCTACACATGAAACTAGTTTCTGTGGAGTTGATTCCCACTCATAGAGACCTCATGCCCCAAAGTTGAACATAGAAATTCAGTGGATGGCATGATGGTGACATTCTTATTACCAGACATACAATGGGTATTCTGGAAATTGATAGAGCTCTTCTAATTCTTACCTCTACACTTCAAAAGCATTCACTTATGTGTTACAATAAAAGGCACAGTGGGAAGCTCTGGATTTTTTTTCTTATTATGAAAGAACTATGTTCTGACCTCTCAAGACAGGGGGCAGATTTTATTCTACTGAAAGATATATATTTTATGAGCTCAGTCTCTAAGAGGTAAAGAAGTGTTAATTGTGTAAGCAAAGAAAATGATCCTTGTAACCCGGATTAAAAAACCATTAATGAATTCACTGTGCAGTGAACTTTGACAAAATAAAGGATAAAAAAAGACAGTATCTTAAAAGACAGTAAGAAGTAATAATAGCATCAGACTTAAGGATGGTTCAGAACATGAAGCGTCACATTATAACTTTGGCTGTTTTCCATTTTTAATGCATTTGGAAGAATATAAAAACTCTTTTATTTTCTTTATTATTTATTCATAATGTCTAAACATATTTATTATCAAAATCAAAATATCTAAAGAGACAAATATTTCACAACATAGAGATAATCAAAGATACAAGTAACAGCTTTCAATATACATTTCTAGCATGGGTACATACATGTATGTATGTATACATACATATATACGCATATTTTGTTCTATAACCTAATTTATTTTATATTTAACAATATACTATTCATGTTTTCTATGTAAATACAAACATATCCAATCATTTTTAAAGTCTATATAGCATTTTATTGTATGAAAGAACCATACATTTATATACTATTGTTGGAAATATATTTTGCTTACAATTTCCGTTACTTAAAATGATGCGTTAAATGTCTGCATGTGCCTTATGGAAACATGCCATGCTATTTTCTTTTCAAAAATAATTTCAAATTTATTGGTTAAAATGATCCTTTTTTGAATTTTATTAATATTAAAGGTTTGTATCAATTTTTAATTATTGAACTGTTTTGGTAATAAGTACCACTAGTTAGAAAACTTAAGTTGTTCACAATTCCCCTTTGTAAGAAAAAATACTGCTAAAAGAGATTTTATATAACTATCTTCATGCATATGACTGTTTTTATGCACTACCATTTGCGTAAGAGAAATGCTTACTTGTAGACAGAAAACTTACATTTTTATGACTTTTGACATAGATTTCCATCTAGTTATATTATAAAATATGTATTTGATCCAAAGTAGAGCAACAGTGTACTCCCAAAAGCTAAACCTAGGTATTTTTATTTTTAATTCTATTAACTTTATGCTTATCATATATGTTTAAAATGTAATTTCCAGTTTTAAATTTGTTTTAAATTTGGTTTATTGTCTTTTATAGTGTGTAAAGCCTTTTCTTTAGGTGTGATAATTATCAACATTTTTATAATGCACTATTATGTAAGCTTAGTTTGACTTTTACAAAACTAAATTGATGTAAATATTCTCCAATTATTTTCATGTCTGTTATTGCTTAATTTTTAATATTTACATCTTTAGCTTATTTGAGATTTTTTGTTGTGTAAAGGATGAAATCTCATCAAACTATTTTTTTTATTCAAATCATGATTAGCTCCTCATTCATTTAAACTGTAATCCTTATCAGAGAAAGATGTATAAAACAGTTTTAGTTATTTCAGGAAATAATATAGCATTCCATTGAAGGACTCACTTGTTCGTTGACTCTATTGTCTCCTATTAAAGATTGACTATATAAAGTAACTAGCTTTAACATTTAGTGCCAAATATGCTTTTCTGACCAATAAGTTCAGATTAGCTATCCCTAACTACCTGATAACTCACGACATTCCCAGCCCTGATAGCCCATGACATACCCAGCATTCCTTTATTTTAGCTAGCTAGAGAACAAGAACATATCTCCTTGATTTAAGATGGCTCCTTCCCTCTCTTAGAAGAAGCCCTTTATAGTGTAAAGAGTTTCTGGGTATTTCCAGGGTACTTTCTGGCTGAGTGTTGTTCCTCAGAAAATATATGTCTCCACTGGCATATTATTGTTCAACCTGTGTCTGTTATGAACATCTCTAAATAAAGTGCCAACAGATGCCATGAAATACTTACTGCAGTAAGGGTAAGTACAAAAATGTCTGTTACTTCAGTTATTTTTACTGTATGTCTTATACTGTCAAGAGGGGAGGAAGTGGGTGGAGAATATCATGATACATTTCTCTCTTAAAGCAAAGTTAACCCGTTGCCATTGAGTTGATTCTGACTCATAGTGACCCTATAGGACAGAGTAGACCTGCTTGATAGGGTTTTCAAGGAGCACCTGGTGGATTCGAACTGCTGACTTTTTGGTTAGCAGCCAAACTCTTAACCACTACACCACCAGGGTTTCCAAAAGCAAAGTATTAAGCTTAAATAATCCATATGTTGAATACTAATGTTAGCATTTGATGAAAAAATATCCAAGTCATTCATGAGGTATAACTTTTCTAGAACTATGGCTACACAAATCATTAGTAGGCCTGATTTGAGGGAAGTTTCGTAAGAAAAATCCCACACAAACATACATATGAGAAAAAAAAAGCTACACATACACACAATGACATTAGACTGATAAATTGACTGATAGTTTATTATCCATTTCTAATATTTTGTACAATTAAAATACTTCCTTGAAGTCAAATATTTAAAACACAACATAGTCAATATGAATATAAAGAGATTATTAAATGCTTAATATTTATGTGAGTCTGGATTCAGACAAAATGAAAATATTGAGTATTGAGGATGAGAAATAGCTTTGAGACATAAGAAAGCTGAATTAAATACCAAGAGCACTATTATTACTAGGTGATGCCTCAAGATTCTGAAAAAGAGAACAGGAAAGAAGGTTCTCAGTGTGAACTGGAGAGTCACCTCTTGATGATATGCCCTGCTCTAGAGTCCAGCTTTCTATTGAGCTTCATCTACCCTGAGCTGGATTCATATCTCTGTCCTGTGGTAGACTCTCTCTGCCATGGATATCTCACTCTGTATATTGGGTCTATAGCGGTGAAGACAGTGCTCACTGAATTAGAAAAATGAGAAAAAGACACTTTTTAAGGCTCTGGTTTTACACACATCAAGACTTTCTGAGGAAAATATTTTAAAACCAAAAGAAAATGACTTATTCCCAGGAGATACCTTTCACATTCAGTAAAGGTTAGAAAATTCGGAGCTTTGGAGACATTACTTGCAAGTTAGAAATCTATGAATATCTATCAATGTAATTAGGGATAAATGATTAAATAACTTTTAGCTAGCTATTCACCTTAGCCCAGATGACAGAGTCCCTAGTCTCCAGTCTTAATTTTTCCTGAGAAAAATATTGAACAAATATGGAGAAATCAATATACTTAAAGAATATCTAGGAGCCTTGGTGGTACTTGCGGTTTGCGATCAGCTGCTAACCTAAATTTTGATGGTTAGAACACATCCAAGGCTTTGTGAAAGAAATGGCTTGGTGATCTGTTTCTGTAAAGATTACAGCCAAGAAAACCATATGGAGCAGTTCTACTCTGTAACACACAGGCTTGCCATGAGTTGGGACCACCTTGACGGCAGCTAACAAAAATGACGAGAACAACAAAGGATAAGTAATAAGGAAAATTAGCCAGGTGTACTTGAGCAATTTTTTATGTCCATGAGCTCTGATATTACACAGGAATTGAGATAGTGATTGTATATGAGTGATTCATATTTAGTTTCTGCCCTTAACAATCCCATTTACACCAGTTGTGTTAATTACTAATACTTCTCAGATATGTTCCTTAGACAATAAATTTTATAGTGACCCTACTTTTAAGGTTTTGAATACTGATAGAAACACTGTCTTCATTAAACTAAACATTCAGGTAAATGTACCTCAACAATCATTGCGCAGTGATTAGAGTTGGGATGCTGGCCACTTTCTAGGAAACAGACACGTACTTTACCTCTTTGTGCCTCAGTTTTTCTTACTTGCAAAATGGAGATCATGTACCTCCATACCTCACAGGATTATATCAGTTATATACGTAATATGCTTAGAACAGTGCTTGGAGCATGGCAGGACACTTAGAAGTGTTTACCATTATTATGATTATATACTGAATTAAGTAATATGAAGATGCATGCTGGAGCAGTTTTAAAAGGCTTATGAAGTAGAAAGTGAGATAGTAATAGGTTGAGAAATGAATGCAAAATGCATAAATAGACACAAAGAGTGTGAACTTGAAGGAAAGGAAAAGGGAGGGTACACATTGTCATGGTGAGGAGATTCAGCAATTTAACCTTGACTTTTTCTTCTGGACATTGCAAAATATGTTGTATTAAATGTGTTCCAATCTGAACCAAGTTAACTGAAAGCGTGAAAGTATACTTTTTATTGTCTTCCACAGTGCATTTATTATACTCAACATTGCCTAACGATGTAATAAAAGAGTGCAGCAAAACCATCAGATTGTACTACACTGTGTAATCCAAAGAGTCGATACAAGATATAGGTATTGAAGCTTAAAAGAGACATGTAAAATTACAAATTTGGATGTTTAGGAGTCAAAGTGCACAAACCCCAAGTAGAAGTTAAAATGTTAAATGCATTATTAAGGAAGTATAAAAGAGTAATAAAAGTTAAACGACAAAAATTTATTTTAAAAAATCTCATTTGACCATTTTGTATAAATAAATTAGAGAGTTCATCTCACTACACAACAGAAAATGTGTTCCTGAGATCAATAAATAAAACTCATGGGTATTGGATAAGTTGAATGTGGAAGAGTGTTCATCATGACCTGATTTTGTCACTGAATTCAGCAATTCAAATCTCTCTGACATTTACATGTAGGTTTTGCTTTCGCCTGAAGTCAATAATGAGAAACCACACAACAATAACAACATTTACCCTTCTGGGACTGACAGAAGATCTTCAGCTACAGGTTTTGCTTTTTATTTTCCTACTAACAAACTACATGTTGAGTGTAACTGGAAATCTGACCATCATTACCCTCACCTTGGTGGATCCCCACCTTAAAACACCCATGTATTTTTTCCTCCAAAATTTTTCTTTCCCAGAAATCTCATTTACAACTGCCTGTGTACCAAGATTCCTATACAGTATATCAACTGGAGACAGAACAATTACCTATAATGCATGTGCCATTCGACTCTTTTTTACAGATCTCTTTGGGGCAAATGAATTTTTTCTTTTGGCCACCATGTCTTATGATCGCTATGTGGCCATCTGCAAACCCTTGCATTATATGACAATCATGAGCAACCAAGTATGTAAAACAATGGTTATTTGCTGTTGGATGGCATCATTTATGATTATCCTCCCACCACTTAGCTTAGGTTTTAATCTGGAACCCTGTGAATCTAATGTCATTGATCATTTTGGCTGTGATGCATCTCCTATCCTGAAAATCTCATGCTCAGACACATGATTAATTGAGCATATGGTTATAGCCTGTGCTGTGATGACCTTCATCAACACTCTTGTATGTGTAGTTCTCTCTTATATATATATTATGAAGACAATTCTAAAATTCCCTTCTGTTCAAGAAAGGAAAAAGGCCTTTCCCACCTGTTCTTCCCACATGATTGTAGTTTCCATAACCTATGGCAGTTGCATCTTCATCTATGTCAAACCTTCTGCAAAAGAAGACGTGGAGATTAATAAAGGTGTGTCAGTGCTCATTTCATCCATATCACCAATGTTGAATCCTTTCATATATACCCTGCGGAATAAGCAAGTTAAACAATCCTTTAATGACTCACTAAAAAAAATTGCATTCCTCTCAAAGAAGTAAAGTGTAACTAAGTTGCTAAATCATGTTAAAAGATGCATATCTACTTTATATTTTTGATAAAGCTGATAAACAAATTCCTAGTACTTAACCTGTAGAGTAATCAGGCTGTTCTCGGAGCCATTTAATCACTATTTTTCCCATCAATTCGTTATTAAACAACTCATTATTTGACAATGCTCTACAGTAGATAAAATATATCAATTTTAACCAGCAACTTTCATGGTTAAATCAGCCATTTTCATCTTTTCAGATGATTTTCATGAGGATTTTGTAATATGAGTGTGGACAAGTCTTTGTTAAAAAGACAAAATTCCTGCCTCCATTTGTTTAAAAAATGACAGATTTAATAACTTTTAAAAATCTATAGTAAAATGGCAAAATGTAAATAAAAATATTAAAGAAAGAATATAATTAAAAGAATAGGTTTGCTGCACAATTAACAGGAAAGGGTTAATAATATTTAAAAAGCTTCTATGAATCAATAAGAATTACAAACAATTCATAAATAGCAAGAGAAAATAAGATACTTGATTCAATAAAAGTTAAATACAACTATCTTTTATAACAGGAAAAGATTCACTACTTCATTATAAATCATCAATTTGCAAATTAAAACCTTAATATGTAATCCATTCATCACATTTGCACCAAGTAAGTTTTTTGATGATGTGAAATGTTAGCAAGTATGCAGATAAATTGGCACTTTCATACACAATTTGTTTGAAAACTTTAGATTTAGTTATTTATCAAAAGTAGGTATAAACTTTCACCTGGAAAATATCAATCTAGGAATTTATGGCATAACTATAGTTGCCAGCGGGGCCCTGGTGTCACAGTGGTTAAGAACTTGGCTGCTAATCAAAAGGTTAGCGGTTTGAATTCACCAGTCACTCCTTAGAAACTCTATTAGGCAGTTCTACTCTGTCCTATAGGGTTGCTATGAGTCAGAATCAAGTTAATGGCAAGGGGTTTGGTTTTTTTTGTTTATAGTTGCCAGTAAGCCTGAAATATATATCTAACATTGCTCATTCTAGTCATTTAGTAATAGCAAACAATTGGAAACAACCAAATGAACATCACTTTGGCAATATGTAAGTTCATTAGGGAATTATGGCATAAGATGTAGTATTTACCAAATGATATGGACCTTGATCTTATCATAGAAATATATTAAAAATATGCATATTTGAAAAGTGATTTGCAGAATCGTACATGTCATTTATGCCATTTATGAAAAAGAAATTTTTTGTTGATCATAAATCTATGAAGGTAGGTTGAAATATATTTTAACCACCCCTCTCCACACCCAGAACACCAAGTCCTAACGTCATACCACACAGTAGAAGCTCAATGCGTATTTGATGAATGGATAAACGGGTGGTTATGTAGATGTAAGGTTGGATAAGTGAATGGCTTGAATGATGTGGATAGAAAAGTAACCTGGGTGACAAGTGAACAATGTAAAAGTCAAGAATATTCACCTTTTCTCTAAGCCCATTTTTATTTGCACCCATTGTAAATATTTGATGACTACTTCTTGTTTGTTTGTTTGTTTTTTCCCTAACCTCCGTTTGCTTTTGGTGGTGAGAGTAGAAATATCCAACAAACAACATTGTTCAATTTGTGGGTTTTTTTTTTCCAGGAAAATTTTCTCCATCCCTGGTTTCAGTGGTGGACCACACAACTCAGCCTAAGTCAATCACTGCATTCTATCACACAATCTACCTTGATTGACAGCTGTGATCTAAATCAAGCCAATCATAATTAATCAAGAGTTTTTTTTTGTTTTTCTGTAGAGGAAGAACTGTGTTTGTGGAAGTTCAGCTATGTATAAGTAAGCAGGCATTATTTTTTTTTTTTTTTTCTTTCTCAGCATCAATTCTTACTTCACGTGGTAAATAATATAAGACAAAGCAAAAATAGACAAACAAAAACCAGATATTTGTTAGAGTTGACTTTAAGGGTAGAAGATATGATATAGGTTAATTCATTCAGCGTGTTCTATTTCTCCAGCTTCAGTGGTTGGTTTAAAAATGAGCTTGCCCTGACAAGAAGAAGCAGTAATTCCCTCCCATACTTTCTCTGGCCTGAGTCATGTGACTTGCTTTGGTGAATAGGTCAATAGCAAATATGATGCAAGTAAGTTTTGAAAACGCTTGAACATTTGGGCAAATATCTCTCATAAAAATAGATGCAAAAATCCTCAACAAAAATATAGCAAATAAAATGCAACTGTATAGAAAAGGAAATATACGCCAAGATCAAGGGATATGCAAGGCTGAATCAATATTTAAAAATCAGTCAATGTAATTGACCACATCAACAAGCTAAAGAGAAAAAATCATATGATCACGTCATTTAATGCAGAAAAAGCATTCAATACAAAAGGAACTCCCATTTTTGAATAAAAACTAAGATCAAAATAGGAATAGAAGTGAATTTCCTTAACTTCATAAAGAACATCTACAAAAACAAATGGTAATATTATACTTAATGATGAGAATGTAGATATTTTCCTCCTAAGATTGAGAATAAAGCAACGATGTCCTCTGTCACCATTCCTAGTCAACATCATACTGGACATACTAGCTAGTGCAATAACATAAGAAAATAAAAGTAAAGGTATACATATTGGGAAGGAAGAAATAAAACTGCTTTGCTCACAAATTACATGATTATCTGTATAGAAAATCCCAAAGAAACAACAACACAAATCTCCTGGACCTAATAAGCTAGTATAGCCACGCTGCAGAATACAAGGTTAATATACAAAAGTCAATTTCTTTCCTATGCATTACAAACAGCAATTGAAATTTGTAATTTTTTTAAATATCATTTACAATAGAACAAAAAAAATATAAATCTAACAAAATATGTACAAGAACTATGGGCAAAAAATACAAACTTCAGTGAAAGAAATAAAATAAGAGCTAAATAAAGGGAGAGATTTTGTGTTCATGAATTGGAAGACACAATCTTGTTAAGATGTCAATTAATTTTCCAAAATTCACCTATAGATTTAAAACAATCTCAGTAAAAATTCCAGCAGGCTACATTGTAGATATTGGCAAACTGATTCTAAAGCAAAACACTTAGAAGAGACAACAAAATACTGAAAAGAAAAAAAAAAGAATTGGAGGACTCACTCCACCTGATTTCAAGGCTTATTATAAGACTACACTAATCAATAGAGTGTGTAAGGCTACACTAATCAGTAAAATGTATTAGTGAAATAATAGACAAATAGTTTGATGGAAAAGAATAGAGAACCCAGAGAGAGCCCCACACAAATATAGTCAACTGATTTTTCACAAAAGAGTAAAGGCAATTCAATGAGATTTGAAAACTCATGTCCATCAAAATCCTACACTTGAGGTAATCACAATGTCCTTCATTATATAAACTGATAAATAATGCCTGGTACAACCATACAATGGAATAATATTCAGTAATATAAAGATACTAGCTTTCAAGCCATGGAAAGACACAGATCAATCTAAAAAAGCTATGTTCTTGTTAGGTGCAGTCGAACAAAAACACTGCCGAGTCCAGCTCTAGTGATGGCAAAAAGATTAGTGGTGGCCAGGGTGTGTGTGGTGGGGATTGAATAGGTGATACACAGGAGATTTGTTAGGGTGGTAAAATGATTCTGTATAATACTGTACTTGTGAATACATGACATTCTACATTTATCTTACCCATAGAACTTTACAACACAAAGGGTGAACCTTAATGCATGCAAATCTTTAAAAAATCGTGAATGAGTAGGTAGGAAAGATACTAACTTAAGAAGCTATGGAAACGAGTGCAGTCTGTTAGGCAATGGAAAGCAAAAGAAAACCTGCGTAAGCGGTATACTCTAGTTGATGGAGTAGTTTCACACACGGTTACACATTAATTCTGATACTGTTATATCTGTATATTGGACTTGAACTATTAAGTAAATGGAGAACAAATGGTGGAGGTGAGAGGTTACAGATAAGCAAGGAAGAATGCTGGAATGATCCTTGTGGTAACAAATTAGAGTTGGAGATACCAGTATAAATTCATGGTTAGCTTAACATAGATACAGAAGAGTACAAAGAGTAATAATTATAGATATGTGTAAATACACAGGTTCATACACACACGTTTTTCTTTGTTCTGTCAGCTGAGAAGCCATAGACACAAAGACACTTCAGCCGCAGATCTGTTGCTGACATCAGAGTTTCTAACACCTTTCTCCAATAAAAGGAGCCAGGACCTTTTGGAGGAAGGGCTGATTTTATGACTCAGATAGGAAATTAACAATATGAGCCTGGAGCATCTCAAAATGCCAGAAAGTAAGACAATTCTTAAAAAATAAAAAAATTAAAACCCAGTGATGGGACCATGCCAAAGGGAGACAGGAGCCAACTGAAAAGAGGTCATAATGATCAAAGCTGGAATAAGTTGAGCAGTAAAATGAAGTAGTATTGGTTTATAGCCTGAAGTACGAAATAAATATCCATAAGCCCATTTCTGATATAAATAAAATAATTGAATAAATGAATCAATAGAGGAGAAGAAAAAAAATCTCCCATACAGATAAATTCCAAGTAATTTATATCAATACTACAACCTTAAGGAGCAGGAGCATAACCCCTGACTCCTTAAATGTGGATTTCTCATAGTGATTTCCTTTCAAAGTGTACAATATGGAAAGCAGGGAAAAGAGTGACTTTACACTGAAGAAACCTGACAAGTACTACCTCAATCAGGTGATCAAGGTGACATCAACAGTGATAACACAGATTGATAGTATATACCCTTTTTGTTTCCTAGACCTATGGTAGCAAATTACCATAAACTTGGTGGTTTAAAACAACAAAAATGTATTCTCTCACATTTTTGGATGCTTTTGTTGTTGGGCGCCATGGATTATTTCTGCTCATAGTTACCTCATGTAACAGAGTAGAACCGCCCCAGACCTGGTGGCGCAGTGGCTCAAACCCACCAGCTGCTCCTCAGGAGAAAGATGTGGCAATCTGCTTCTGTAAAGATTATAGCCTAAGAAACC